CAGTCTCAGGGAAGTCCCCAGGAATACAGTCACATGTCAGTGGAGCCCTTGAAGTGGTTGACTAGCATCTGAAACAGTCAGTGTGTCCTCGTCCTCCACAAAACAAAGGAGTCAGGTACCTTCATCAATCCGACAGCTGCTGTGTTGTCATCGATGGTGAGAACCCCGTGACTCTGGGTTCTGACTGTGTGAATGAGGCCCCCCGCCCCGTGAGGAGCACAGGCCCTTGGAGATGTGCCTGCATTGGGGTGACCTGTTCCAGATGAACACCCATATCACGCCAGGGAAAAGATGTGACTCCCACCCCACAGGGCTCATCTGAGAGTCAAAACCTGAGAGTGGGAAAGTACAAGAAAGCCCCACTGAATTGGCCATGGCAGGTGTCCAAAGCCAGGACCGGGGGCCCCCCAGCGGGAGGGAGGGCGGCAGAAGGCGCCCTGTGTTCCCAACCCAGACCGTGTCCCCTCGGCCTGGACAGACGTGCTCCCGATAGTGAAGCTGATGCAGACAGGACAGCAATGGGGTCCATCCTGCACATCCAGGAGCACCCCAGCCCCCGGCCTCAGGGAACCGGCCCACAGCCCGCAAGGCTGAGATGGCGTAGGTAACTGAGCATGACTTCCAGGTGCCTGCAGGTCTCTGTGCACTGCAAGTATCTGTGATCTCACTCGTACAGTGTGCAGAGGTGGGGAGACTGGCCCCGTGCTGCCCTAGGCCCTCCCCTAAACTGTGGGCTCTCCCTGAGGACCGTTGTGCTCTCCAGAGGGTGGCTGATGCTGTCCCTGCCTGCACTGTGGTTTCCTGAGTGATAATATCTACTTACCTCTGTACATGAGAATCCAGATAGGAAATTATTTTTCTGACCTTGTCACCGGGATTGATGGGTTAATTAAAAAAATTGCTGAGGGCCCTCCCTGGTGGCACAGCAGGTTAAAGCACAGCACTCAGATGCTAAAGCCACTTCAGCATGAGTTCTATTCCTGCCCCGGAAGTAATCCACATGGCCCAGCAGACCTCTCCTGACCCACCTCCTGCTCCCCTCAGCAGTATGCTCTCAGTCGGCCTGTTATGCTCCCCACTGTCTCTGGTGAATCCTCTCACAAACAGAAAATAAAGACATGTGGGAGGTGATACGATGTAAATGTTTGAAGTCTTGAAGGGTCCCCCAGGGAATGGTAGCTAAGGAGCAGAGAGGACCAGGACTGGACCAGCTGAGTGATGTGAAATCTGCGCAGACAGCCCCTAGACCTCTGCACTGTCTGACACATGTGATAAAGGCTCAGGATCAGGGAGCCCCCACCCACTGCCACCCCAGTGAGCGCAAGACACCAGGAGGTGTAGAACAGAGCCCCAGATTGCCTTATTTGAATTCTTTCCTCACTCTAGGGATGGGGAATTTAGGGTTGGTTCCCAGGAGAAGACAATGTCATCCCTGAAAGGAGGAACAAACAGCAGAGACTCTGGAGTCCAAGGCTTCATTCAGAGACAGAGGGAAACTATACATCGGGGACCCACCCTGAATTTGGGAATCAGCTGTTATGACCTGGAGACTTGGCTCTTCCCTGAGGTCTGTGCCAGAGTCACTCACTAGGGAGGAAATTTGAGGACCCCCAAGCTGACCTTGGACCTTGCCCTGCTGCTGGGAGCTCAGGGCGCACTGGGGGCCTGGCTGAGCAGGAGAAAGGGCAGCTCTGGGCTCCTGCGCTCAGCCCTGTGGCCACACGGGGGCGCTGCCGCGCTGCTCTGGTTCTGGCTGAGCCGCCAGGACTGGGCGGGTCTGAGTGGGGCAGAGTGGGTTGTCCTGGGGGGCGGTGTCATGGGGGCTGGGATGTTCTGTGGGGAGACAGAGAACTGGGGCTCAGAGGGAAAGAGACCTGGAAGCTGCAGGGTGTATGTGTTTTCCATTTTTGCTCCCTTCTCTGCAGTCCCTGGTAGCAAAAATATGAAAACTGGTATGTAAATCATTTTTTACTTTTTGTGATTAGTGTTTTTTAAAATATTGTTAGATTTTCAAAAAAGCTGCAAGTAGTAGATTTTCTGTATAATCCACATCATTTCCAAACTGTTAACACGTTTGTGCAACTAAGGAAGTAATCTCCATGCACTTTCAATAACTCCACACGTCACTTCGGTCTCATTTAGTTTCACCTAATGTCCTTTTGTGTCCGACATCCCACCCAGGACGCCACTTGACGCCCCAACCCTTCTCCTTACGGTGCCTCTGGCT